GGGTTATAGATATGTGTCACCACGCCTGGCTTATGCAGTACTTAGATGCTAGGCAAGCACTCTACTAACTGAACTACACCTCTAGCCTTTATTTATTATTATAATTATTATATTATTTTGAGCATATAACCCCAGAACACTAGGGTTAGAGGCTCAAATGTCCACACTGAGCTTTTTTTCTTTTCTTTCTTTTAAGGATTAATTTTAACTGGGCAATGGTGGTGCATACTTTTAATCTCAGCACTCAGGAGGCAGAGGCAGGAGGATAGATCTCTGCGTTTGAGGTCAGCCTGGTCTACAGAGCTAGTTCCAGAAGAGCCAGGATGACACAGAGAAATGTGTGTTGCTTAAAAAACCAAAAAAGAAAAAAAAATTTTTAAACGTGTGTGTGTGTGTGTGTGTGTGTGTGTGTGTGTGTGTGCAGGTGCCCACACAGGCATTGGATTCCCTTGAGCTGGAGTTACAGGTGGTTGTGAGTTAATTAGTGTGGGCGGCTGAGAATCCTCACAAAGCGCAGTATACCATTGAGCCATCTCTCCACTTTAGGGTGTGGGTTTTTTTTTTTTGTTGTTTGTTTGTTTTTTGAGACACGGATTCTGAGGATTTGAACTCAGGTCACCATGCTCATACAGCAAGTACTCCCACCCACTGGATCATCCCCCAGCCTCAAGCCATTCTTGGGTGACACTTCTGTAGCATCAGGAGCCTTCACATTGCCCTGCAACTGTCTCTGACATCCATGACCAGAACGTCCTCATCTCAAGCTGAAGTTCTTTTCCTATTAAACATATCCCAACCCCCAGCCCTGGCAATCTCCAGTCTACCTTTTGTTCTGATGGGTTTGATTGCCCTATCAACTCTACCAGTGAAGTCATAGCTTGTCTCCTTTACGTAATTTTTTCAGGGCTGTCCACGCAGTAGTATGTGGCAATTGCTCCTTCCCTTCTGAGGGTGAGTAGCACTCCAGGGTGGGACCATGCCATCCATTATCCGTTGATGGACACTGGAGTCACTCCTGCCTTTATATTGCGAAGAACGCTGCTATGGGCATGGGTGTCTTCTTCTTTCTTCTCTTAGGTATAGATCTAGCAGTGGAATTGCTGGATCGTATCACAATTCTGTGTTAATAAGAAAATGTCTTTGACCTTCCCAGCATGTAACATGTGGTGCCTCCCTCCTTCTGTGAGTTTCTCTGTAGTCTCCTGATGGGGGGAGATGCAATTGCTGATATTTCTGAGGAAAAGCCCCTGGGTGTGGGGCTTCTGAGTGATTACAGTTGGTTCATACCGGTTCATCTGTATCCTGCATGCTTGGAGGCTGGGTGGGAGGGCCCCTAGCTGGAACTCTTTCCTTGAGTGCTGTGTGAATGCATTTTCTTGTTGCCTTACTTTTTGTATTGATCTTAGGAAGTCTGATAGCTGCCTGTATCTTTATATCTTCCTAGCCTTTGAATTATAATGTGTGCGTCTGTTGTATGTGGTGTGATATGTATATTTGTGGAAGTGTGTGTGTGTGTGTGTGTGTGTGTGTGTGTGTGTGTGTGATGGAATGCACGTGAAGGCTAGCATGCGACTTCCTGTGTTGGCTGTCACCTTCCACCTTGTTGGCCATAGGGTGTCTTTGTTGCTACTTAGCTTGCAAGCTTCTGGGGATTTTCCATCTCATCTCCTATCTCATCACAGGAGCAGGTGTAAGTACAGTCATTCACTACCGTGTTTGACTTCCTGCGGGCTCTGGGGATCTGAACTCGGCTCCTTACGCTTGTGTAGCAAACACGTTACCCAATGAGGCACACAACCCCTCTACTAAAATAAGTAATAGGTATCTAGTAGATATGCTAAGGTCTGTCTTGGTCATTCCACACCATTTTCCCAAGGCATGTGGAAGTCACCTTCCACATATACTGCTGTGTTTCCATTATTCCTGGATTATTTTCCAGATGGTAGTTGTTGAAAACTATCTATTAAAATGGAAAGTACCCTTGGGTGGTGGTGATTCTGGATACAATCTCAGAGCCTTGCTCACGGTAGGTAAGAATTTATCCTTAAGTTGGGCAGTGGTGGTGCACATCTTTAACCCCAGCATTTGGGAGGCAGAAGCAGGCAGATCTCAGTGAGACGGAGGCAAGCCTTGTCTAAAAAAGAGAGAAAGAGAGAGAGAGAATTTATCCCTGAGTTACATCCCAGCAGAGATTAACAGATTAACTTTTATGAGGGGGGACTTCCAGACAGGATATCTCTGTGTAGCCCTGGCGGTCCTGAAACTCCCTCTGTAGACCAGGCTGGCCTTGAACTCAGAGATCTGCTTGCCTCTACTTTCAAGTGCTGGCATCAAAGCTATTAAAGGCATAAAGCTCAGAGATTAGCATTTTAATATGCACTTTGTTTTCCTTTTGGAGTTTCATCATTAGAGATTCCAGTTCAATGTACTTTATTCCTCTGTCCTGGCTTCCAACAACTTCTATCTGAACCTTTGTACTTGTGTATCTCATTTTCAATCTCCTCCCTTTCTTCCCTCCTTCCTCCTTCCTTCCTTTTCTTTTCTCTTCTCCACCCTTCCCTTTTCTGCATGCGAATGTCTGTATGCTGTGCACATGTGTATATGCATGTTTGAGTGTGCGTGCATGCGTGTATGTAGTATACATGTGTGTGAAGGTCAGAGCATACATGTTCCTGTCTGGTGGGTGCATGTGTATACATGTAAACCTATGTGTGGAGGCCAGAGGTTGGTCTATGGTGTGGTCCTTGATACTTCTTCATCTTATGTACTGAGACAAGGTCTCTTGCACCCTGAACTTGCTTATGCTCAGGTCAGTCTAGCTAGCCAGCTTGCCCCAGAGACTGTCTGCCTCTGCCTCCGTACACTCTATCACAGGCAGGCCACTGAGTCTACCCAGTTTTAGGTGGGCTCCTGGGATCCAAATGCTGGTTCTCACGCTTGTCCGACAAGTGCTTTAACTGCTGAGCCATCTCCCCAGACCACCTCCCTCCCCCAGGTTTCACTTTGTAGCCCAGGGTGGTCTTAATAGCAATTCTCCTGGCTCAGCCTCCTGAGTGTCGAGATCACAGGCAAACACAATCACCACCAGTCAATGGTGCGGCGGGGACGCGGGGTATCAGATGAAATATTAAGATTCCTTTTCCACAGTCAGAAATATGATGAATTTTCTGGCATTTTTCTGTCTTTCAGCTTTTCAGTTAGGAAGCATTTGGGGGCAGGGCTCCAGGTGGTGACTTGCCTCTGTCTTCCGCTGAAGTGCAAATTCTAAGTAGATGGTGTGGGTGCTGGAGGAGGGGCTGCTCTTCTTCTCTCTCATTCCTCCCAGTTTGTCATGTTTCTCCTTGCTTCTTCCCTTCCCCTCACTACCAGGCCCGTGAAGGGCGATCGTAGTCTCACTTATCTGACTTTCCCCAAACTCTGGGCCTTTTCAGGCCTGTCGTCTGTTGTTCAGTGTTTTACAGATTCAGAGTCCACTTCTTGGAACTGGACTTCTTATGGTGGTGACGAGCCGATCTTCCTTAATATCTCGGCAGTCGTGATGGACAACTGCTGAATAGTGTCGGCTGGAACGGGGTATCTCCTGGGATGGGGTGTCGGCTGGAACGGGGTGTCGGCTGGGATGGGGTGTCGGCTGGGATGGGGTGTCTGCTGGAATGGGGTGTCTGCTGGGACGGGGTGTCGGCTGGGACGGGATGTCGGCTGGAATGGGGTATCCTCTGGGATGGGGTATCTGCTGGAACAGGGAGTCTGCTAGAGTGGGGTGTCTGCTGGGGCGGGGTGACTGCTAGAATGGGGTGTCTGCTGGGACGGGGTGTCAGCTGGGACGGGGTGTCAGCTGGGACGGGGTGTCTGCTGGAATGGTGTATCTGCTGGAATGGGGTATCCTCTAGGATGGGGTATCTGCTGGAACAGGGAATCTGCTAGAGTGGGGTGTCTGCTGGGGCGGGGTGGCTGCTAGAATGGGGTGTCTGCTGGAATGGGGTGTCTGCTGGGACGGGGTGTCTGCTGGAATGGGATGTCTGCTAGAGTGGGGTATCTGCTGAAATGGGGTGTCTGCTGGAATGGGGTGTCTGCTAGAGTGGGGTGTCTGCTGGGGTGGGGTGTCTGCTGGGGTGGGGTGCCTATTGGAACAGGGTAACTCTTCCCCCTCATTTCTAAAAGGTCTGGAGTTCAGGAGAGTTTCACAATCCTGGTAGCAAATGCTTGCTGTGCCTTCGGTTTGCTCAGGATCGGGTAGACTACCTCTCGGGAGTCCCTGCCTCCTGAGTCTGTGCAGATCTCAGTAATATTTGCAGTCTCTCAAGAACTGGAAAACCTTTTTCAGACACAGACTTAGAGAGTCACAAGGGCATGGCCAAGGTTACAGTCACCAGAGAGTTGCTGTCAGAGAACTGGCTGCCTGCTCTATTAAGTGGATTACTCTACTCACCTCATTCCTTCAGGAAAGCAGCCAACGAAAAAGAAAAGATTTAAAAACGTAAATTGCCATCCTTCTCCCCTCATTTTCATGTTTATTTAAAACCACCCGGGTTTGCTCTTAAAAGCAGGCAGGCTCATCTTCACAAGCAAGTGCCTTGAAACCTACCTTCCCTGACTCAATCTTGTTCGAACTGCAGGGTGGGGGCATGACTGTATCCCAAGACTCAGCAGTCTGATGCAGGAGTGTGTGAGCTTGAGGCCAGCTTGGGCTAGATGGTGAGTTCGAGGCCAGTCTTGGTTATAGAATGAGACCTTGTACTTAAAAAAAAAGAAAAATCCAAATACTTGCTCAAATAGCAAATGAGATAGATGCCAGGGCGTCCTCTGCAGACCGGACTAGGACCACTTCAGGTCTTTGGGAATCCTGCAAGCCTCAGAGTCCCCCACCTGCCACTCCCAGAGAAGCGAGGTGGGCGGGGCGCCGCTGCCATGGAGACGCGGCCCCGCCCCCGCGCGCCCCGCCCCTCGGCGTCGATTGGTCGCCCTTTGCTCCCTGACCTCGCCGCCGGGCCGCCGCTTCCTGCCGGGCGCTGAGCGCCGCCCGCCGCCCGCTGCCGCGTCTTCCCGCGCCGCCGCCCCGCGCTCCGCCTGCCGCGCGCTCCGCCCGCCGCGCCGACAGCTGCCCGGCGGCCGCCCAGTGCGAGGATGCGGCGGCGCTCGCGGATGCTGCTGTGCTTCGCGCTGCTCTGGGTGCTGGGCATCGCCTACTACATGTACTCGGGGGGCGGCTCCGCGCTGGCCGCGGGTGCGGGCGGCGCCGGCAGGAAGGTGAGTGCCGCGAGGCCTGTGCGCCGACCCGGGCCTGTGGCTGGGAGGCGCCGTGCACCGAGAGTGGTGCCGGCTCCGGGCAGCAGGCGCGGGGACCCTGGCCCGGACGCGCGAGTCAAGTTTCCTTCGGGCCCTCAGGCCAGGAGTGCGAGCCCCGGCCCTGCTCCGCTTTCCAGGGGCTCTGGGTCCAGCGACTTGCCTCCTGCACTGGGGGCGCGGGCACCCGAGGCCACATACTGCCCTGCGCAAGGATCTTGGGCACTGTTGTCTCGGTGGATCCACCGCTTTCCGCTCCCTGTGCCGCGAACGTAGGGGCCAGACTCCCTGCCCCCTCCTCTGCACTCCACCTCGTTCGCCCCAGGACCCCCATTCCCTGTTCCGGGATTTTGGGGATCGTTGTCACCTGAGACCCTGTGCTCCCTGAGAGCCACACTCCTCCCAGCTCGAACCCCGACCCTCGACGTCCTGCTCCGGGATCATGGGTATCTCGGACCCGCCAGAACCCCGGTGCTCGAGCGATCAGAGGCGTGATTTCACCCGCTGCCCCTCACCCTGCACTCAGTGAAGATGTATCGCGGTTCTGCCAGACCTCCCCTCCTACTTGCTGCAGGTCTTGACCCTGCACGGCAGCGGGAACTGTCTAACCTCTTGCACTTGCCATTTCTAGCCCCAAGTCCCCCCCGTGTGTGTTTCTGATGGGTCCTACTCTGAGGACCGAGTGATGAGGCTGTGGGGACCACGGGTTGCTTAGAGCTCGTAGGTCCTGATTCGGCACTAGGCTTGGGTACCTAGAACGTGAGCTCCTTGTCGGTGTGTTGGTGCTGTCTACTCTGGGCAGTTGTCGCCTCTCCGGAGGGTTCTGTGATGTGTTACTAGCTAATGAGCCTCAAAGCATAGCTTTCTTTTGCAAAGCCCTGTAACCCTCCTTACTCGATGCCGAGTGACACTACGCGACCGGAAAAGACGGGGTGGAAGTGGCCGGGCTGCGGGAGATAGTGATAGGGTCTTGAGTAGGAAGGACTGTCACTGAGCCGACTTTACCCCTAGTCAGACCCTGAATGTCAAGGGCACTTGGCTAACTCCCTTTCCCTTCCGGCATCTTCAAGTTTTCCAGCTGCAGGTATAGAGCGAGGGAGGTGGCAGTGTCTTATTCGGCTCTTAGAGGATTTCGTGATTCATTTTTATTTGCAACAGTGAAAGTGGAAACAGTGCTTGGCTTGTGTGGCCTGGACACTGACTCCCAGCTCTGCTTTCTGAATGATTATTGTGTTGTGAGCCCCTGCTAGTTTTTAAGCAACCCCGTTTTATTTATTTATTTATATTTGGAGAAAGACAGTGGCTTTAAGCAGGTGTGGTGTATACCAACTTTGCTTCCCCAGTAGACATTCCCCACCTTGGGAATAGCCTGGCTGCTGGCAATGTTTTTTTTCCCCTATGCTCACGAAGTAAAGCAAACTGACAAAGTATTGAATTGGCACAGGTATGTAGAGAGGCACCTGTGGCATCAGCCCCCCTGGGGGGGTTATTGCCCTACCTCGGGGGGGCTTCAGTGGACAGACAATTGGGTGCCCCCCCAAAGTCCTCTGGATGCTGCTGAGGCTTGAGCTTTAGGTTTGAAGAAAACCAGTTTGAAGAAAGCCCAGGACTTCTTTGTGTTCTGCATGCAGAAAAAAGTGGGGGAGATAAACAGTTAAACGTGGATTGAGGACCTGGGATTCTGTTTTGTCAGTGAGCCATAAAATGTAATCCTGACTGGAAGTATCCTGGTTTAGTGGTCTGTAGGAGGAGGAAGAGTGTGCAAATGCTGTAGGCTTTGTGTTCTCATTCATGTAGCAGGGTGGACCCTGAGAGAGGAGAGGATGCCCCAGAACCGTGGAGTGCCGTCTCGAATCCTTTAGTGCGCTCCCCACATTTAGTTAGTTCATCCTCATGATAGGAGAAAATTTGGGGTTTGTTTAGCTTGTACCCCATGAATGTGTAGTATGAAGAGTGGAGTTATTGAAAACCTGAGGCTATTTATTTATTTACAGACACGCAGGCTGCATTTCTTCTTGTGTTTGGTCCTGCTTGTAGCAGGACTCTTGTCCTATCTTCTGTTAGTTTCTTTATGCCCTAGTGTGTTTTTTTTTTTTTTTTTTTTTTTTTTTTTTTTTTTTTTCTCCCATGGGGCCCCAAGCTTCAGGATTGTGATTTGGGGATTGTCTGAGGGCATCCTGTTAGGATTTCTGCTGCTTCAGCAGCCAGGCCAGGCTGTGAGCGGTGTGCCCTGCCTGCTAAACAACTCTTCTCAGAACCACTGTTCTTCATTTAGCAAAACCCAGAAAGTCAGCTCACCTCAGACTGCAGATTGAATGAACTAAGAAGTTGAAAACCAACTGTCAGCATTTGCTGGAAAAGCCGGCACTCAGTGCCGAGATTCCGCAGTGCTGAGGCGCTGTGTTAAAGCAATTTGTGCATCATGTTTACAATTGCATTTCATTTGTATAGGCATCTCCCCCTGCCATATTTACTCTTTCCTCCCTAAACTGATGATTTGCACTTCAAGAATGCCTTCCCTTTGAGCATCCTAAATGCTTTAAAAGTTTAATCATGTTACCTTTCCCTGGGGCCCTGGTATGCTGGCAGTGGATGGAGCTGCTGAGGAGAGGAAAGGCTTTCAGTGGAAAGGAAGCTGCCTCTGGCTGAAGTACAGCCACAGGAAGGGTTCCCAGCAGGAGAGCAGTGAGCTCGAGAGTCTTCAAGGCTCCTTCATGGACTGCCTAAGTGCTTGAGGTACCCATCACTCTTCCTGGGAGCTGCTACCTGTGCTGCACCCTTGCGCTGGGCCCCAGGTGCTGATGTTTGTCTTTTGGGCTCTTGTAGGAAACACTGGGGGAGGGGCTTCTCTAAGAACTAGGGAGGGACTGCTGATGGGGGACACTCAGCGGGAGAACTGTAGGGGCTATGCTGTCCTGCAGAGGGCGTCCCATGACAAGCTGGCTTGCTAGTTCATTTGGCTGGTTTGGAGGGAACCAGTACCGTCTAGACATGCAACTGGAAGGTGGTGGCACAGTGCCTCCACTGGTGCCAAGTACCACCTTGTTTTCTTCCGTGTGCTTAGTGACCCTCCCTCCCTCACCGCTCATCTCTGACTCTCAGTTCTCTTATCATAACCTTGGGAGATTAGCATCCTGGTACCATGGCTTTTAAAAAAAAACAGGTGCTAAATAACTGATGTAGAAAGAAGAAAAGAAAGAAGGCAGCAGAGAAAAATCCCTCAACCCCTGAAATGAAGTGAGCCAGAATCCAGTGAGGTCTTTGTTTCTGGCTAACTGTGTATGTCTTTGCATAGCTCCCGAGGGACAGGTCTGCGGGGGGTAGGGGGGGTTCCTTCTCGGTTTGCGCTGGGACCTTGGATACTGTTAATGAGCCATCTATGGGAAAACCCTGGGGACACTCACACCAGCTCTGTACCCCACGGTGGTGTCATGGTAGGGTTCCCGGTAGCCAACTGCCAGTAAAGGAAGTAGGTGAGGTGTGGAAGGTAAAGTCCATGATGGTGAGAGGGCTGGAGGTGCACCTGAGTTTGTCAGGGTAGGCTCTGGGCTCCGCACTCCTCCCTGATCTGGCTGAAGGTGCTCCTGAGTTTCACAGGGTAGGCTCTGTGCCCCCCACTCCTCCCTGATCAGGTTGGCGGTTCACCTGAGTTTGACAGGGTAGGCTCTGGGCTCCCCACTCCTCCCTGATCCCTTGTTGGGAAGTGTCGCCGTGATTATTGAAGGCTAGCCAGAGGCTGCCATGCACAGTGTTGTTACCTGTGCTAGCAGGTTAGCAGTGATAGGTGTGCAATTTCAGAAAGGCCGTTTGCACTAAGTGTGATGACATAGGTTGTCATGCTAGCACTTGGGAGGTGGAAGCTGGAGGATCAGGAATTCAAGGTTACCTTTTCTTACATATGACATTCAAGTCCAGGCCAGCCTGGGCTGTATGATCCTGCTTCAGAAGAACAGTAGTGGAGGTGGAAGACTGCCAGGGAAAGCCCAGCAATAGCCTTGCTTACGCTGTAAGATTGGCCTCCTTAAAGTAGAGTCCTGTGTAGAATTCTGTTGTGGCTGCCCACGGGAGCGCAAACACAATAGAAACAGATTGTGACTGTAAACACTACAAAGATAGTGAGCTATGCCCTGGGCCCTCCAGCAGTAGTGAAAATGAACCTGTTTGTCGGTGGCTTGGGTCCCTCAGTCTGCTCAGCTTGAAGGGCTAACTGCTGTGTGTGTGTGTGGGGGGGGGGGTTGTGTGGCAAGGCCCTGGGAACAGGAGCGCTTTTCTGAGGCTGTAAGCCTGCTGTGATCTCCCCAGCGAGGCTGGAAGAAAAGGAGTGGCGGAGTTGGGGATTGTTTGCCATCCTTTGTGTTTAAGGGTTGTGAGAAGTGGTTAGAAGAACAGTTAGGTCAGGAAGTCAGGGATGTTTGTAGCTTCTCTGCTGCTGCTGCTGCTGCTGCTGCTTCTGCTGCTGCTGCTGCTGCTGCTGCTGCTTCTGCTGCTGCTGCTGCTGTAGTCTCGGGGTTTTGACTACTGTGTTTCTTTGAGAGGACATGTCAGCCCAAGGCTGCCCTGATTCCCCTGTCCATGTTCAGTGGTGGCTGCCTGGGCACTGAGTGGAGGGTCAGGCAGAGGCCAGGAAGCCCGCAGGTGTTTCTGGGCAGCTTTGGACAGCCTTCTGCAGACCCAGCTGAACGCACTGTGAGAAACCTGGGCCTTGGCCAAGCCCACTCCCTTGAGAGCTCGGTTTGAGGGTGACACTGAGATTTGCTAGCTAGGCAGAGTGGGGTCATGTATGTCACCAGGTCATACAGCCTGGCTGCCACTGTTTTAAGCACCTAGATTCACCCCCCCCCAGCTGCTTGTCTCTCCCTGCCCTCTGCCCCCTGTATTTTTGAGAAAGACAGTCTTTCTCTTGGCTCCTCTTTCCACATTGAGCAGCTAAGGGTGAACCCTGTCACCCAGTAGGACGCCTGCCA